AAACACATAACACAACCACCACACACATCCACTGTCTTTCTCCTCTCTGTCTCTTTCCCTCCTGCAGTGGGGTCAGGTTTGTGTCGCCCTCAGAGCGTTGGACCCGAGGGCTGGAAAGGTTCTCCAAAAGAACTTTGAGACGCGATTTTCTTCGGAGACAGGAAGTTCAATCCAAACAACCCCCCACGGCACGGACAAGCACATACGTGGCACACACACCTTCAAGCAACAGTTTTCTTGGTAAATCCTCTGTAGGATTTTGTCATTTCACCTCATTTCTTTCAGCCTGAAAATCAATGTGAATTGTGCTGACTTTACATTTTTTATATCTTCAACTGAGTAAGATTTTGACTGAATTTAAAAATGCTTCATTGATATTGTACATTTGTAAAATTTGATATCAAACAACTGACATTAAATTCCATCAAATGCAATTAATTTCATAAGATTGTTTCTGCAGCAGGGAAAAGATCTGTCACAAACAATAAAAAAGATGTAGCCTGTATAGACTCAGGATTAGGAGCAAAAAAGAAAAAGAAAGCAGGGTAATCAGCAGAGGGAACCCTCAGCAGTGAACACCAGGAGACAAAAGAAAGGAGGAGGATGGGAAGAAATGTCCAACACAGCAGGGAATTTCTTTTTTTTTTTTTGGTTGGTCAGGGGGAGGAAAGAGTAAGAGCGAGGGATCAAACAGAGATAATCAACTGGAGCAGCAGTGTGACTCCTTTAATGTTTTCACGAACACGCCGCCAAAGGAGGCGGTCAGGCAAATCAGACTGACAATCAACCAACCGCCCTCGATCCAATGAGAGCAGGAGGAGAGACACTCTCGCCGATACCGATGCCAGCATTATACTCATTCTACAGAAAGACGCACAATATATTTCACAGCTAAATTAACAGAGAACCTGAATGCACATAGAATAAATGCAATTTCATTTTGGATTATCAGTTCTCTTCTGGTATTTTTTTTATCACCAGCAGGCCTTGGTAATAAGAACTTCATTAATTCAGTGCAGAACTGCTCATATCTCTCCATTGTCAACCTTCATCCCCAATTACAATATGCTAGGAGAGCTTTTAATGCGGGCATCCCTTGAAGAAACCGTCAATATCAATACAAGCATAATCCCCTTGAATTTCAATACTTCATTATTGCGCAGCATCCAGACCACACTGATTTATCTCATTTGCTTCACACAGTCTTCTTCCCCCTTTTTCGTGCCATACTTTTGTCTGAGATTGCCTTTGAACATGTTTCACGGAATCAGTCTCTCTCACTTTTCTCCCTTTCTCTCACTTTCCTTCAGTGTCTCTCCCTCGGGAGCGATGTCATGGGTTTAATTGCCGCCAGGTGACGAGGAGCTAGGAAAAACAGAATTAACCTTGTCAGCCTAAAGCCACCCCCCTCTCCCCTCCTCTTCCTCTCCTCTATCCAATGCGTCAATTAAAGTTAAGCCGCCGTGGCCCTTGGTTTCAACAGGCTCAGAGTCAGGTACACAAAGAAAGGGGAGAGGGAGACATGAGGGTTACAGTAGAAAAAGGAACAAGTGGGATTTACAGGGAGGAAAAAGGAGAGATGTATGGGGTGGATGAGAGGGGAAGAAAGAGAAACAAGACAATGAGCCAAGGAAAGATGGAGACAGACAGACTTGGCAGATAGACTGGAGGGATAAAGTGGGATTCAGCCGTTGCAGGATTAAGAAGAGAGGATGGTGGCACAAAGGAAGACACAGCGAGTGAAAAGGACAAAGAACATGTGAGAAAGATGGAAAGAGATATGTATGTAAGTGAGAATAGAAAAGAAGGTGTGAGACAGGGAAAGAGAGGATGCAAGTGGGAAAGGAGACAGAGACAAAGAAAACCCAAGTACATAATATATCTGCTGATCCTTTCCACAGATCACTTGTGACAAAGAGTTACCACTACCTTGAAGGTCACAGTTTCCATCCACCTGTTTTTATGTGCATTGTCGGTTTGCACATAAAAAGGCCAGTGTGGAAAACACTACAAAAATAAAAAAGCAGTAAAAGGGCCGAGAATTTTTATGTTTGGCAGAAAGGTGGAAAAGTTGGTATATTGGGGGAAAAGAGTAATAAAGGCTGATGATTGTATGTCACCACAACATTACTGTTTAGAATCCAGGAAGGAACCCTTGTTGCAAGTCCCTTCCTTCTATAACACTTTAACACTTAAAATAAACTAGGAATGAAATACCATGATTTACCTAAAGGTACAGTAACTGATGGAGACTATAGAAATAAAAACGCACGTAGTCTCTGTGGCATCACCCATAGGTCTCTGAAGAGCCGTTGTAAAGCTCAGTGTTGTCGGCTCTGGCCGTCGCCATCTTGGCAGTTCTGAATCCGCTAATCCAAAATTGGGCAAAGACGTGGAGCGTGGGTGGAGCTGAGGCGGGCCAAATGAAGACTGGTTGCTGAAACCAGCCGGCTGTGACAGCACCCACCTGTCACTCAGAGTGGCCATTCCATTAATTAAGCATAACTTTAAACGTTAACGCTATTTAAACAGCTGTGTTATACAAAATGGCATACCCCGTGTAGTTGTCATGAACAGGTAAATTAGCCAAAGAGACTAAAACATTTTTTTGTACCATGCTGTAAACATTTTAATATGGGATTGACTCACTTTTGGGGCCAGCTTCAAGTGGCTGTTTGAGGAACTGCAATTTTGGAAATGCGTAACATTTTATTTGAAAAATAAAGAACTGTACAATCCAGTTGCTATGTAGCCAGCCATCATGGGTTGATTCATTCTTTAAAGGAAAATATATTTTAAAATTTTATTATTAAAGACTGTAGGCTGTATGACTCATGTCCAGTGTAAAGAACAAGCCACTGCACTGCGGTTTACCTGTTATTTTCCTACTATGACAAGTAGAAATATCTGCTGTGAAAGAGAAATATCAGTAGGCGTAAAGAGTATAAAATAGCAACAACACAAGGACATATTTATGTCATTCCCAACCTTCTCCATTCACAGTATGAGTTGGTTGATTGAACGGAATGTCTTCATGAGCAGAATAACGAAGATGACTGTTTGCGTTTGGTTCACCTGTCCTCACAGTGGTGTCTTTGTGTGATCCTCTAGACCCATGACGCCAGGCCTGTGCACCCTGACAGTGCGATAATGGAGCTCCAAACCTGCACACACTGTCTTTCTCTCTCTCTCTCTCCTGCAGTGGGTCAGGTTGTGTCGCCCTCAGGTTGGGCCCGAGGGCTGGAAGGTTCTCAAAGAACTTTGAGACGATTTTCTTCGGGAGACAGGAAGTTACATCAACACGCCCCACGGCACGACACACATACGTGCACACACACCTTCAAGCAGACATTTTCTGGTAATCCTCTGTAGGATTTTGTCATTTCACCTCATTTCTTCAGCCTGAAATCAATGTGATTGTGCTGATTTACATTTTATATCTCACTGTAAATTTGACTGATTTAAAAATGCTTCATTGATATTGTACATTTAAAATTTGATATCAACAACTACTAAATTCCATCAAAATGCAATTAATTTCATAAGATGTGTTTCCTGCAGCAGGGAAAAGATCTGTCACAAACAATAAAAAAGATGTAAAGCTGTATGACCTCAGGATTCAGGAGCAAAAAAGAAAAAGAAAGCAGGGTAATCAGCAGAAACCTCAGCAGTGAACACCAGGAGACAAAAGAGGAAGGAGGATTGGGAGAAATGTCCACACAGCAGAATTTCTTTTTTTTTTTGGTTGGTCAGAGGAAAGAGTAAAGAGCGAGGGATCACAGAGATAATCACTGAGCAGCAGTGTGACTCCTTTAATGTTTTCACAGACACGCCGCCAAAGGAGGCTGTCAGCAAATCAGATGACACACCAACGCCACTCGCATCACAATGAGGAGCAGGAGGAGGAGGACACTCATGTAGAAATGTCAGTGGGTTTTCCTCACAGTACAGGACAGCACTTGCTCTCAAACAGTGTTCAGCGTTTATGGGTGTTAGCTCGCTTTCGTGGCATCCTTGGCTGTTCTCACCACAGCTGTTTTTTGACGCAAACAGTAGGGTAAACACATGGGTTATGAATGATACAAATTAGGGATTCGTTCCATTTAGCGTAGCGGAGCCTTTCCACTGAGTCAACACACCCTCTCACTCTATCTGACCTGATGGGAACTTAAGCTCATTGGTTATACCGTGTATCCGACTGTTTCAGGTCAAAAAGGCTGCTGTGAAAAAGATCTACAGCAGCTTTCCTCTAACTTAACATTATTCTGGCCATAGCACATGATAAGTTATACAAAAAATAATAATAATTTCCAGGACAACATAGATTATTTATAGGATAATTGGTTATTTTAATCAATTTCCAGATGTTCCCTGACTAGAAAACTAGTCTCTAAACCTGCAAGTACGGAAAGTCGTTTATGCCATATTTTGTGGTTGCCCTCCTTTTTCAGAAGGTGAACTGTCCCTTTAATGTGTCACCATACACAGTTATTGAATCATTCATTCACTTTACAAACATTGAATTCAGTTCCCTGCAGCCACTGGATTCTTTTAGCCTCCAACAGGACTGTTAATATGCTGCTGGTGTCTGATCTTGCTACCGTATTTTATCTTTTAGTGGATCTGTGAATACAGATGTGTAAAGGTAACTAATCAGACTCTGAAGAGTTGCTCTTTTAAAAAGCACAAATGTACATCTTGTGCCGCACTTTTCTGTATCCACCAGTGACAATATTTTCTGGAGTTGGATGGCTTTAGATGCTAGAATACCCATGAGCCTCAGCTGCCAAGGCGATGGAAGGGAGGCCATATCAGCTGACGTGAAAGTGAACTGATTTAAACTGCTAAATGTTTCATCAGGTTTCTACAGTGTTTAATCTTTAGCAGAAGACAGAATGTAAAGGATAGCTCCGCTTATTTTCAAACTGGATCATAAACTGAGCAGATTTTGGACATTGTAATCATTCCTCCTGTTCATACTGGCACAGGCTAATATTTTAGTATAAAATTCCAGAATTCCGCAAAGGCTCGTATTAGCTTCTGAAAACTTTTGTCCCCCATCTCTTACACTAACAGCCTCTATTAACAGACAGCTATAGACATGAATAAACCTTATTGCGACCAAAATTTTCAGTGCACATATTTGGCATGTGAGTACTGTTTTAAGACAGACTTTAAAAAAAGGTAAGCTAAGTTACCTAGCTGCTGGCCTTCAGATTCAGATTTAAAGACATGAGTGGTGTCCACAGGCTTGTACATTTGAATTATATTAATTAAACTTCCACTTTTTTCTTTTTAACTGTTAGTCACCTAAAAACCTTGAAGTTTCATTTGCAAATAAAAACTGCCTTCATGTCATAAACACAAACAAGCAATACAAAAACAACATAACACTGCTTTCAACAAACATTTGCCACTTTCCACACTTGTGATGTCAACGCCTCTTTTTGAGAAAGTGTGTCAAAAACTGTCTTCTCAGTGGCACAGTCAGTGAGTACCTGCTCTGAGGATACAGAGGTTCAGGACTTGAAAAATGGTGACCCTGAATCAGCAAGCTTTAGAGGTGCTGGGAGGAGGATTTTGTTACCTTTGGACAGAGCCACACTAGCTGTTTCTTCTTGATTCAGTCTTTATGCTATAAGCTAAGCTAACTAGCCGCTGACTCTAGCTTCATATTTAGAGACATGAGTGGTTATGTCCATAGGCTTGTACAGTTGGCTCTTAAAGAACCATACATTTTCCAACAGTTGTTCATAATTCGTACTGATGAGTGCAGTTTCATCGAAGCTCCAAATGGCAGAAATTAACCAATCACGACTCTTCAGTAAACCTTGTGTGAACTATGTTGTTGCACTGATGTAAGACAACCTGAGTACATTAATCTGATTGGTTTATTCAGACTCACAGCTACTGGAACAGAGAAAGTAGGACAGAAGTCAAAGGTCACATGGTAATCAGATGGTGCCATCTGATAATCTCTAACCTCTGACCTCCGAGCTCCTCTGACAGTTCCATCCATTAAAAACTTTATAAAGTCAAAGTTAATAAAATCTTTATGGAGTCAAAATCATTAAAGCTTAATCTGTTCCATTAAAACTTCAAATAGATCAAAGAGAAAAAGAAACACTGCAAACCATGTCACAGGAATCCATCTGCACTGCAACAGGCTGCAAAAACGCGCTGACAATAATCTTTATGGAGAAAAAATCATGAAACCTTTATCATCTGATCCATTAAAACTTCATACAGATCAATGTGAACAAGATAAAACTGGAAACACTGTGGGTGAAAGATTTAAGAAATGTTTGAAAGATCCTCTGGAGCCTGAAAAAGAAACAAAACTACAAAAATCCTTCAGGGTGCTTGATAATTATCGGGTCAGATAATTGGCCGATAATAGGAATTATATATTTTATTATAATCAAATGTATAATATACTTATTTTGTCATTTCTACCATTATGTATTTTATCTTGTATTTTCTATTTTTTTATTGATTAATGAATAATTTATTGATTTTCTTTACATAATGCAGTATGTAATAGCCAGGTGAGGTTTGTCCCCTCTGAGCTTCCCTCCTACTCTGCCTTGGGGACGCTTGTCCAGACAAGGATTAACTACAAAAAAAAAAACTGTTAAAGTATTTTCTGCAGTATGTGAGGGTGTGTGGGGAGTTTAATATGCAAAGTAGCCAACGTGTGATTATCCTGCTGAAGATCTGGGGAACCTCCCGCTGGGATCGAGCAAAGGAACACTTCACAAGTGGGAGTCAAAGTGGTGTTTAACCAGGGAGAGAGTGAGCTAACATGAGCTGTAATCTGAGTGATGGAGTGGACAGCGTATGGACTCGTATAATTGGACAGTGTATGGAACATAGATGGCTGACAGACGATGAGAGGCTGCAGCCCAGACACATTATTAAAATCACATCTTACACTCTATATATTCATTACATCACATTTCATTTTAAAATGAGACATCCAGCACTGGGAGGAAATGAACAAAAATTACTACCTGACAAAGTGATGACTGCTGGAAAAGCAGAACTTACCATTAAGTATAACTGCTAGTGCAGTACTTCACTGTAATAAGACTGGAAATCTAAATAAGCCCCCCTCTGAAGGTATTATTCATGATAACACAAATAACATTTCAAATAAATGAAAAATGAATAAATAATAAAACCAAAACTCTCCACTGAAACCAGATTAATGATACCAATGTAGGCTCCCTACTTATTGATAAATTGATTGGAAGCACGTGGACCTCAAATGAACATGTGTGATACCCAATAGATCAATAAACCAGGCAGCCATGTGATGCAGTACATCACTGTTCGATCAGTTACCTGGTAGTACTCGGAGCTCGGCATCTGTCCCAGTCCTGGTGCTGCCAGGGTTGTCAGCCAGACACCGGTACGTGGCCGAGTCTGGCGGCTGGACGCGGCTGACCTGCAGCGAACCAGATGGCAGCGCCGCCAGACGGGAGTCGGGGTCAAAGGTCAGCGGCAGATCTTCCCGGTTCTTCTGCCAGCGGATGACGGGCGTCGGGTCGCCCGAGACCTCACAGCGAAGCAGGGCGGTGTCGCCGAGGTACGAAGAGACTGACTCAGTGGGGACAACCACCTTCAGTGGACCTGGAGGAAACCAGAGGGGGAGAGGGTTATGATCAGAATTCAGTATTGATAGAATTCACTGGGTGTAAATATACAGTACATTGATTATTTCTCTGACACTCGCCTGAACCTGCCTGTGTTCCTGACATGGAGTCATTTTTCATTTTCACTATGTTGGGTAGGTTGCTAGGGTGCTAATCCTAACCCTGATTAAGTCGTTTCACCATAAATGCATCGAAACATTCTACGTGCTGGAGGACCTTTTCAGGGTTTTTTTTGCCCCTGCCCCTCAAACAGCCACCACTGCACAACAACACCACAGCAGCAACAGGAAGTTGAATTTAACTGTTTTAAACTGTACTGAACTGTGCTGAACTGAACTAAAATTAGTAGTTGAACTTTAGTGTGACCTGTGTTTGTGATGTGTATCCATGCGGTAAGTAAAGGATAATGTACAGTGAACGGGCCATTGTTGGGAAATAAATCGCAACAGGACTTTAATCACCTTGAAGGGGTGTAATTCACAACAATGACTGCTTCACTGTACATTATTCCACTTATTACACAGCTACTTCCTCAAGTAGTATCAATAATTTGATGATACTATTACTGATGCTACTATTCATATCACTACTACAGTACTGTTGCTTCCACTACAATCCTTGCTAAACAAGCTATTTGTGCACCTACAACTACTAAAACTTCTGCTGTGAGTACTGCTGTTAACACTGCTGTCAGTACTAATAGTGCTTCTGCGTCAGAAAAGACACACAGCAGCATTAAAGGTGAGGAAGAAGATGTGAGCAGACAGTAGAGGATGTTCAGGTCGACAAGAAGTATATAATCACAAAGACAAAAACGGGACAGGAAGAGAGGTGAGGCACAGCAGGTGGAGACATGAGAGAGAGAAAGAGTTGGACTCCGAACAGCAGGAGAACGGGTGAAAGTCAGACAGAGAGATGGAAGGACAGAGAGACGGGGAGAGTGTGGACGGGCAGTGTCCAGCCAGCTGTTTTCAGGGCCCACGCCATTTCCTGTCTGATCAGATTGACTTCAACAACAAACAGCCTGTAGCCACATAAACGCACGACCCTGCTGACTGCCAGCCATACTCCACTCTCACACTGGAAAGCCGGGTTATATTATCGTCTGAAGCTCGTGTGGTTATGTTTTAATTTCAACATGGCTGCCGGGGCCTCTGGGCAGATCTGCAAAAATGTCAGGAATTCAATAAAGAGAAGTTTATTTTCCTCTCTTTGTGTTGATGTTGTTCTGAGGTTTTCAGTTCAGGTTTAAATGATTAAATGTGAATATTTGCACGCCAGGGTATCTGAAATGTTCTGTTATTTTTGCCACAAAGTTTAGACCTTCATGAGAAACTAAAAGTGCCCGCTGATAACAGTGTTTGAGGCAGGATTGTCTAAGATGGGTTCACATACGCCCATTAGTCCTTTTCTAGGGGTTCCCTGAAGGGAACACAAATAATACTTAATAATAAACTGTATTTGTGGTAAATACGTCCATCTAGCACTTCTGTGCAGTTTGCGCCGGTTGCCTGTCCCTCATGTTGACAACAAGACTCTGGGGAGTCACTACTACTGGCAGGTGGCAAGATATATTTCCATCATGTAGAGACACAGGTCAAAAAGGTCGCATCAGACCACATGAGTGAAGTGCTCCAACCATCAACGTATAAAAGATAGACGTTGCGTTGCAAAAAAAAACAAAATATCCCGGATATGGGCTCTGCGCATTTGTGGGTCAGGGTTGGCACCGTCGTATCGTGATTCAGTCCATATGCCCGGCCGATTCAATCACAAGCAGGGCTCAACTGTCAATTAATGCCGTTAAACTCTCTTTTTATAGCGCCAAATAACTCATTAAAACCAATATCCAAGCTGCAGTATTTGTCGACTTGGAATCGAGACCAGATTGCTTCTAAATGATGCTGCAAAGTTAATTGACGTTAAATAATTTTCAAAGACAGACAGACTGCTCTGCAGGTCTTTTTGAATCTAGAGGGTGAAACAAAAGCAACGTTCACCAGCCAGATTCAAATGTGCAGATTTTGGGGTTCAATGCTGATGTCTCAATCCCTAGGAAACAGCACACTAATTAAATTAAAACCTGAATCTATAAGAAAGTACAATAAAAACACTTATTTAGAGTCTTTATTTTGTAGAAAAGGGATGTTTTATAAGAAAGTTCTCATATGTTTATTTAAAAAAATTTGAAATTATATTAGTAGTTTGCTTTATGTTAAAAAAAACTTTTTGACAGCCAACAGTGTTTATTTTCACATTGTTGCTCGTGTTTTAAAATTTAAAGTATCTTTTTGAAGAAGTTCCAAATCCCTAGAGTCCCAAATATCTGTGGGCATATGAATCCTCATGAAAACCTTTCATCCAGAGACAGAAAAATAAATGCATTTTGGTGTCTGATTTTCCTCGCACTTTGTGTTTCTGTTATTTTGTTTTCATGCTGGTTTGAATCACTTTCTGCTTCCTCGGTTTTACCTCAGCACACAAGCAGTCAGCAAACTTCTCTGACACAAACTCTAACTTTCTCTTTCGGTTCTGTAACATTAGAAAAGTTTGACTCTTGATTCGGAGGCAAGCTGCCGCTGGATGCAGGCTTGTGTGTCTTCGCGCTGGTGAGGACTTGAGCCGCTGTGACATCACACAGATCGGAGGTGATGGCAATGCTGATGTGAATTTGGATTGTGTGTCTTATATAAGTTCTGCTGCTGTCTGCTCCTATGTGGATCATACTGCTGCCTGCAGCTGCACACACACTAACATGAAACAAAAGCGCTTGTTTTTGTCACTTGTGAAGAGACTGTATTGATTTAGTTTGAATTCCTGAAGGCTTAACCTAATGCTTCCCCATATCTGCTGGATGTCAAATTCATAAATCTTAAAACAAATATTTTAAGCTCATTATCAACTCTAAGTCTTAACCCTAACATAACTGGTACTTAGGATGTGAGGACCTTACAAGGTTAGTGAGTTTGTAGTGATAGACCTGCATTATATATGCTCGTCTCACTGCGCTGCATTACTATAAACTATGACAACCCACCTGTGACTGTCTAGTGTGTGTGAAGGTGAGCTTTTGTCTTAGAATGTGTGGGATTTCTGTGTAAAAGAGCTGCACACACCTCACGTAAAAAATATAAATAGAAGACCTATTTGATTATTTGTGAAACACAACTCCATGACGCGTAAGCGCCACTTACATGGTGGTCTTGCACCCGGGTGTAGCCAGTTTCACTGACTATAGTGGAAGCCTAGTGTTACAGCATATATTACCTGTTCAGTGTAACCAGCCTGTTAGACTTAACTATTTACAGTGTAACTAAACCCCAAAATTCTGCTAGCCCTCCCTCCCAGCAGAGAGAATCATATAGGGGGCATGGCCATGTGGCCAGAGAGTGTGTGACACAGAAGAAAACACCAACCAGAGTGACAGACTGACCACTGCTGAGTAAAGTTGCCTGTAGTCAGAGCTAACCAAGCTAACCAACCATGAGCAGCTGCCATTAGACTCTACACGAGAAACACAGAGAGTCTGCTGGATCTTTTACAGTCACTAGAAGCACATTCACTGCCCTTTGTAAAAGGTTCTGTGGTACGTGAGCTAGAAGCTAACTCTATAGAGCAAGCCACAGTCTGCGTTGGGTTTTAAAGGGTTGTCACCTGCCTTCCAGATAAGCCATTCGCGAAATTCAATCACAATAGCCGGGTTTTAACCAGTAGAGGGCGGTTGGTGTGCATATATACAGTCCAATATGTAGAATTAACATACCATGTACAAAAATGTCAAGAATTGGACCTGAATCGATCAACAACACTATACAGAGGTTTTCAGCTTTGGGGGTTTAGTTAGTCTTTAAGACAAACGTTGTGTAATAAGTGTAGAAAAAGGTAGATTTGTGCATTTCTTTTTCACTGGAACTGATCTGAGAACATGTTGCCAGAATTTGGTAAAACAGATTGAACTCCCAAGTGTGGAGCAGAGAGTTTACAGTGATCTTCAGATTCTGATCACACAGAATGAAATAAACCAAGATGAAGGAAAGCAGCAGAGCATGGAGGGAACTCAGAGAGGAAGGGAAATGGGTCAAACCATCAGGATGGAAAGGTGAAGAGGAAGAGAGGAGAGGAAGAAATAAGGAAAGGAGCAGGAAGAAGAAAAAGAAAAAGAAAAGACTTCAATCCTGAACTCTGCTTTCACTTTAACTTCCAGCTTAGCATTCAAACCAGCAACCTATCCAATGCCACATCTTCAATTTCCATGGTGACGGTGGCTGTTGTCTCCCTGCTGTTTTCATCCTCATTAGACAAACAGAACCAAAATAACTCAGACGGATAATAACATGCAAATCACAGCAAACAGGCAATGGCAGCGGAGGGATTTGGGGACGCCCCTGCGCCTTGGGAACGATTATTATCTGCTTCTGTGGGTCGAACCTCGCTCCTCCTTACTGCCATTAATTGGGATTTGTCCAAATCCTCAGAGAGTTGACTGCTAATTAGGAATGGACAGACTGAAGGCCGTTCTGTCTCTCCCTCCACTGCTGTGAGCTTAGGAAGCTGAGAGTTTGTATTTGAAGTGGTTGGGAAACAGCATTATAAGGTCAGTGGACCTTAGCGTGAGATGAGGAGCTGAAACATTGGTTAACATTAACACAGAAATATTCCTTGGTAACAGCCTACATTAATCCTGCGCTCATTCCCATTGATAGCCTATAAACAAAAAGATAGCTGACTTAAAGCTGTAGTAGGTCATTTTTATAAAAATATTTTGGGACCCTGAGAATGAGAC